GCATATCTTCTCCCTCTTTGGCCCAATCTGGTTCATACTTCACCCACAGAGTGCATTTGGGTAACCGGTGTGCAGTGACCTTGAACCAGGTTTCTAGGTTAAAGATCAAGGTCATAGCAGAATTGTATGAAAAATCCTTGTCTGGAGCATATCTTCTCTCTCCTTGGCCGAATCTGCCTCATACTTCACCCAGAGAGTGTCTTTGGGTAACCGTCGTGCAGTGACCTTGAACCAGGTTTCTACGTCAAAGGTCAAGGTCATAGCAGAATTATATGAAAATTCCTAGTCCAGAGTATATCTTCTTCTCGTTGGCCCAATCTGGCTATTACTTTACTCATAGAGATCCACTGGTCAATGGATGTGCAGTGACCTTGGTCGAAGTTTCTAGGTCATTGTCAGAATTACCCTTCTCTTTAAAATCTTTGTTTGGTGCATAATTCTTTGCCTTTAATTCCAGTAAATTTATATAACTCGGGATACAAGATAACTTCAATAAATATTAGCCAATTTGCAGTATCCGTGAAGTCGTACTAAATGACTTTTATAGTATAACACAAATGTTCCTCTTCAAAATAATCCCTTTGTTGAACGCGGGGCCCTTTGAGATGGCCACCATCTCAATGATATCTAGTTGTTGTATGATTTAAATGATACAGAGGAAGATGGTGGTAGGATTTTAAATGTACTTATTTTAGAAAATTTACATAAATTGAAAATCCTTCCATATTTTGCTTTGTAAGGCATTTACTTCTTAAACACGTAAGATCGTAATTTCTGTCACTGATGGAAGAATATTGTCGTTATGATTTGCAGCATTATTGAAGTTCTTTCTCAATGGTTTTGTACAAGCAAATGTAATTATATATCAGCGATAAAATAAAGTATATGGAGATAACGAATAGTATTCAAGCTCAAAAATCCACCCCCAACACATCAGAGGTGGTTATCAGTTGCCATGGAGGAGAGACAATCCCTGGCAACCGGTCACACCGCCCTGTGCTCCTTGTCATGATCGGGAAATAACGGAATAATCCGTCGTCAATAGTGTGTAAATAATGGATTAAAATTAGTATGAAAAACACCAGTTGTGATTTGACTCAAGATAAATTGTATTTGCTGACAAGGTCATTGTATCGACCATAGAACTTACGAGATGATAACTTTAAACGAGACTGTTGATAGTATTAGCAACTTGTTTGTCAATCAACATCTAATGTCATCTACAGTTTTATATTGGGGAGAGATGACACAGTCGTTAGATAAATGTGGAGGACAGGTCGGGGCACCTGCACAGACTGGTCAACAGAAACAAATAGAACCTTTAAATTTGTGGAAAATTATTACCATGAACGTACCGTAATTGTCACGTTTTACTAATATGTAGCTTTTTGAAGTTAAAGGACTCTCTATACACCAGTCCTAAATACTTTTTTTGGAATTTGGGTAATTATTGAATAAAGGAGTAAATATTGAGGCTATATATATGGTACATGACACATTTAGCCTCGGCAAAAATGTTCAAACACAATACGGTATCAGTGAACAGTAGTCATTTTCTCTATTTCCATGGAGAAAATACATGAAAATAACATATTCATTTAATATATCTTGGCTTTTTAAATAGTAAGAATGCTTGATTTGATTTCAAATTGAGTAATAAACTGTAAATGTCTATTCATTGAAATTCATATATAAGGGCAGATCACTCTAACTTCAGAAAATTTCACAGAATCAGAAATTCAATCTTTTGATGTAGAGAGGGTCCTTTGGAAGTAGTTTCGATGAATTTTGAAATTTCAACAAAACATTCTATAAAAGGTTAACAAAACCTTATGATAAAATGTCCCTAAACAATTTATCTCTTCAACGTAAATAATGTCAAAAGAAAGCTATATATTTGGTTTCCTTTTTTTTTTATGAAGTCTAGTTTGTGTTTTGGTTATGTTTTAAATGAAATTGAGAACAGCAAACAGTCTTCATTTTTTGGTGCAATGAACAAATAATGTGATTACATCTTCTTTAGTTTTATCCCCTTTCGTCTGTCTTTTTTGTAACAAAGTTTCATGAGTGGGCGTACATGATGTTGTAGTTGAGATTTTGAAACTCCATAGCTAAGTGGAACTAAAAACATTGTAAAGATTGATTTTAAGGGCAAACATTTATTTTGAGAAACCTGGGCAGTTGTGGGCTCTTTCTTGATGGTTTATTTACCCTCTCTATCTTACAAAAGGCAAGGAAATATTTAACGAGGCCCGATCTACTTGATCTGCGCATACGTTTTAACGCAGCGTCGACTAAGGTACGTCATAATACCCTTGACTGCCTTGACTGCCGTCACAATTGAACACAATATCGTCACAGTTAAAATGACGTCAAATTGCGCTAAAATGTTTCGCTGATCTCCTTACCTGGTAGCTCTATAGACTATGCATTGAAAGCTGGCATTTCTATTATTTTTTTTTTAATATTTAAATTAATAAACAACTTTGGAGCCTAATCAATTTTGAGGGATTAATTGTTTGGTACATATTCATTAATTTTATCCTGTTTTATTTCAATTTGTGAGTTTAAAAAAGCAAACACTGCAACTAAAAGGAAACGATTTTAGTCTTTCTCTTTGAACATATTGAAGTATTTATACACACTCTTAAATATGCATGGATTATCTTCAGTTTTTAAAAAAATTAGTCTATTTATCATTATATTGAACCCCCGAAATATTTTATTTTTCTATATATTATATGATATTAGTAAAAATCGCAATTTTGTCGCCTTTACCCCCCCCCCCACCTCCTCCCTCTACCCCCTTTTTCCACGTAAAACAACGTGTCGCGTGTTAAGAGAAAAATAAAGCATGGCGGGAAAATTATTTCATAATCTAAGAATTATTTATTTTTTAGAAACTAATACAGTATTGCAATCATTTGTTGGTGTTATGTAAACCCATTGCGACCTATAAAATACGTAGTTGGATAGAATATATCCAAGTTTTGTGCTTTGACATGCCTCCTTTTCACTGCAATAAAGGCTACCTCCAATTTTCTTTTCATTTTTTTATAAGAAGAATGTAAATTGTATGATATATGTGAAAAACAAAGAATTTCATCATGTATTTTTTTAAAAATTTGTAAATTTCTTCGTTTATTGAAGAGTTTTAGAATGTAATTGTGTATAAAAACGCGAAAATTGGTCCATATCTTGACAGTGCCCCCATTTTACTACAATAAAGGCAAGGTAACAAAATTTCGTTCTTATTTTTCTAAGCATAAAACGTACAAGTATATTTCCAAGAATTAAAATTTTTTATCATTCTGTTTTCGTAATTTTCAACTAGATCGGGCCTCGTTAAGCAACATCCTGTGTGAAGGGTGAAGGAGATATAGAATCATGCAGCACTTTGAGATCATTTTCTTTGCATGAAAATCTCTTGCGAATCTGTCTCTGTGTCTAACGCTTAAGGAGGCCAAATATGCATGTAAATCTTGTGCGGTTGCCATTGTGTTTGACGTCAGTGGGCGAGGGCTATTGAAATTGACATGGGAGTCCTAGTGTAATTTAAATCTATGCCTATTTTTAAAGTCCAAATCTACAATTTTATTTCACAATAATATGAGAATATAAGGAATCACTGCATAACGGGTTTTGAAAGCTCGTGCATTTGTACAGACAACTTGCGCTAATTTTCACCAATATAAGTTCAATAACCCTATAATACAATTTTTGAACATATTTTGAACAATTTATTTTGACAAAAAAGTCATTATCCACGAACTTTTCGGACAACCCTCGTAGAGTAGCATACGATGAATTATGAGATTTTTAATTCCTACAACTATCTCATGAAATCACTTAAAACTCTAATGAACGAAGATTGGTATACATATATGTGTGTCTTGAATTCTAAACGAATATGCCGATCTTTAAGGACATTTTCAAGATTAAATAGGATATGCGTTAAATAAAGAAAAAAAAACAACTAAAGAAAAACTAAGAGGGCACTTGGTCAAGGTCATTAAGCGTATTTTGTTTTGAGAAGGTAATATTCGACCACCATTTTTCGGATACTTGAGTATAGTGGGGTTTTTTATGTTTAGGCAGCACATGTTATACACGTGCAATAATTAATGACAATCCATACAAACTACCTCTTTCTACTGATTCAAGAAAAAAATACTAGTGTTTGAAAAACAATTGAACTATTTGTAAATTTAATATTCGTCGTCTTCTGTCTTTTATTTAATGAATTAAATTGGAGATAACGAAGAGTATTCAAGCTCAAAAGATCTTTAAACAACACAAATCTGGAAAAAAGCAATCACGGATTTCCAAAACAGCAGAGGGGGGAACATATGCCATGGAGGAGCGAGCATCCCCTTCCGAGCGGTCAAACCGGCCATGTGCTACTTGACATGATCGAGAAATAACGGAGAGATCTGTCGACAAATAAGTGTATAAATAATTGTCCAAAATTGAAATGTAGTATGAAAAACTCCAGACATCATTTAATTTAAGATATATTTTATTTGCTAACATGGTCATTGTATCGATCTTAGTACTTGCTGAATGATGACTTTAAAGGAGACTGCTGATATTCTTGTTTCATCAGCTTGTTTGACAATAACTCAATTATCTCGTTTTAGGAATTGTTCATACGTAAAACATGCTTTGTCTATCGAGTCAACTGAAGGATATTAAGCTAATATGCAGGTGATGAATATATATGCTGCATAAGTAAGTAAGCAATCATATGAATGTGCTAAAAATAATGTAGTACATGATTTTTTTGTTTATGATATTCTCATTTATTAGCGCAATTTCATTCCTAAATTCTCTTAAAGTACACTGTGATTTTTCGCGTAGCTCTTTTGAGCGCCATAATAGCATTAATTAATCCTACGGTTTTGCTGTAACGTAAGCTTATGAAATATAATTTTTATTTTCTATTTGATCACTTATAAATCTAAGAAAAAAAACTCAAGAAAAAAATTATTCATTTCCATTTATTTTCAGTAGAAAAGTTTCATTCAAAATAATTAAAACTAACAAGTGAGAACTCTGCAATCGGGACTGCAGGTACAATAAACCGGACATTCACGACGATTGATGGTGTACTTTACAATTGCTGTAGCGATGCAGTAAGGGTTATCTGGACTCGTTTCTGGACACGTCTTCCTAAGAGTTTCCTCGTCAGAGCAGCAGTAGTGCCTACATCCCCAGCCACATCTCACACCATCTATATATTTGTACTGGAGAGAAGTAACACAGTCGACAGATGGTGGTGGAGGACATGTAGGGGCACCTGCGCAGACTGGTCAACAAAAAACAAATAGTTGCTGAAGTTCTATAGAACCTCAAAATTTGTGGAAAATCATTTTACACTTTGAATGTAATTGTCACGTTTTAGAAAGATGTAGGTTTCTTTAGTTTAAGGACCCTTGAAATCAAAATGATTATATTTCTTATTTCCAAATCGTATGAAAAAAGATGTTTGATATCACCTGCTGCATTATTCCATGATGTACATTTATAGGCAGTCAGACAGCCCCTTGTGTAAATTTGTTCCACTTTGTTGCAGTTTTCAGGGAATTTAGGGGGTGGTGGACACCTTCTTCGAAAAGGCGAATCTTGGTCATCCCCTAGATTTAAAAGAAACTTAAAAAATAATATTGTCATGATAAATTTGTATGTAACTTTAATCTTCATGACCAATTGACTAAATAAAACAGAAGAAGGACTTCTATATACAATCCAATATACAGTTTTATATATAAAAAAAATTATTGTACAGGACGACAATAATGTAATAATGATTCAATCAAAACTTAAGAATAATCCTTCCATCGCAATATGAACAACAGATTTTATTGACATTATTTTTTAATTCTGTCATTGAAATAATTATTTACAATTTTGCAACGAAAAATTTCGAAATCAAAGTTGCAGCTCATATTGCTTTAAGAAAGTAATTCTGTCATTTCAAATTCACTTCTTTACTTTTTTCACAATATTATACTGACATTGTAGTTTTTTTCTATAGCCTTTCTGTGTCATATCTTCCTTTTATTTAATTCATTTTTGGCGAGAAAGTACAATTTCTATGTTAAAATGATACGAAAAAAGGAAGCAAATCTGCACAAAAGCTACTTTAGGGGATTAAATTGTGCCATTTTTTTCAAAGCAGACTTTTATTGGACTTTTTATCTTATTTTTTTCTTTCAAATCCAATCATTTTTCCACACTAACCTTGTACGAATCCGATGAGAAATGCAAATAAAACTATATAACGTAACATTACAAATCTGAAAATAAAAAAATAGAATCATATCCTAGTAATAAATCAGCATTTTATCAATTTTATGGTAATATAAAAAGACAATATTCAATGTTAGTAGTTTAGTTGAAATTTATTTCACGAGTGGGACGGGATATCAAAATGTCAACAACAAAAAGAGATTTGGAAAACATACGCAGCTGTAGTCTCTTTCTCGACTGTTTATTTACCCTATCTATCTTAAAGTAATATACGCCGTATGGATGCCGATTTGTATGTGAAACAAAATGATTAAGTGATTTGAAACACATAAAGTGTAATGAAAAAAATAATATTTCCAAAAAATTTAACTATAAAACTCGTTGTAATAACGGAACAATATAGCAATAACTGCAATCAAGAACTCAAGTCTTTTCATGAATATTGATAAAGGAAGTGCGTAAACAGTAGGTCTAAATATAGGCACGTATGTCCACGGGAAATTATAGACAACGAAGCATGTTGCATTTTGACACCGACTATTAATAAAAGGTTAATATGCGTCATAACAGAGTATAGATGGTTGAAACTGATTACATTTAAAGATAAGTTATATTAATAGTAATTAACACGCCATCCATGTCAAAAGTGAGTTGTATCTCAAAGGGCTTACCTCGTTTTCTTGACGCCGTGTTTGTTTATCAATCTAAAAGTAGCGACGGCGTCACGTGGTGGATTTACTTAAAAATAGACATTATTCTCCTTGCAGGATAATAAATAATTATAATTTGATAACTTTATATCGAATTTTATTTAAATGGTGTAATTTACAGCATTTTCGTAACTTTTATTGGTAAACAAAATATATCAATTTCCAGCCGTATTTTAAAATGGCGCACATTATAGCGTATATGACTTTAAGATACGATTCTTCTCTCAGACAAGTTTCTGACTAGATGAAATATTCGAAGTATATTCGCTTGTACAGGTCTGGACGATTTCTAAATAAGGAAGTCAAGAACGATAACCGTGAATTGCTATTAATACACAGAATAAACAAGGTGCTAATCCTTCTGACCAATCATATACAGCATTTAAACAAACCCATGAGAGAATAAATAAAACACGTGGTTTTTAAGTTTTTTGCCCAAAAGATTTCTTTAGAACAAACTTTTTGTAAACTTTATGCGCATTTGGGAATAATATGATATTTATGACAATTCTACCGTGAACAAACACGACTTGAAAGCTTGGAATACGTTTTATGTGGGATAAATAAAATCTGTCTATGGGAGTTAGCAATCCCAAAAGTTTACTTACGTTAAAAAAATGATATAAATACGGTAAATTTTCAGTTTTTAGAGCCTGACATAAAAATCTTATCGAAAAGATATTAACAGTCTAAATTATTTTTGAGTGTTTATTACAGAATACTAGTAGTCCATGCAGTTTCTGATATGTGAGGTAAGATATTGGGATAAAACGCATTCATGTATAATTACATGTACAGGATTCTCTTTTCTCCACGTTAAACGCCTTTCCTTATGCCCATTTAAAGTCTGCTTAGCTAAGTATTCGGCGCTCATGAAACCCGTGATAATGCAAAACTATATGTGTATACTCCATACGATAAACATTTGTGTGAGTTGATCTATACTCATGGAATTTAAACATTATCGATGAAAATCGGACGGCTAAGCAAAATTATATTTACCATCATATAATATATTCTGGTAAATGTTCTAATGAAACTTGATAAAAACTTGCTGGTGCGATCTATACCTCTGTAAACGATTACATTTTATCGTGCATTATTATTTTTTCTTTACCGAGATAAAAATGTCAAGGTTGTTCACGGTAAAAATGTGGGGAATACCTTATTCTTCAAAAGTTTTCATCTTACTTCTACATATTTTTTGTTAAAAAAATCTTTTTGAGGAAAAAAACAAAAGCACGTGTTATCTTTTTGTTCTTTTAGAATATGTTTTGGGGTGTGTAAAAATGCTGTTGTCTGATTGGACAGAAAAATAATTACGTGTACTTGATGTACATTTATAGCAACTTTCGATTACCGTTCTTGACTTCCATATTTAGAAATCGTCCAGACCTGTTGTATGTATTATATGTTTAGATGTAAGAGAATTAAAAGATCATATTTTTCTGTCCTCGTTACAAATATACAACTTTTGATAGAAATGAAAAACTGACTCTACTTTGGCGGAATTGTAGCGCATGGAAATATCTTTTTTTTCTGATTCTCAAAATTATTATAGAACAATTGATTCAATTCTAATTATTATACAATTAAAGAAGTGAGGAAATTTTCAAATGTAGTGAAATTAATTATAAGGGTCCAAATTTATAAATATATCAAATAAATATGATTTTCATACCTGTACATACTACAATTACATTAACTATTAAACGTTCTAATTCAAGTACAGATTTGAGCTAAAAACCTGTAAAAAGTGGATTTTTTTCTCTCTTAGTAAACGATAAAATCTGTTTGCTTTTGAATTATTTTGAAGTTCCATGTGTAGGCTTCACTGTATGTGAAGAAAAGAAAATAAATATCGGAAGCATATATACTTTACTAAAATATCCTAGAAGAAAAGATAGAAATTGAACAAAAAAATTGCACACATGGAGATTTCTAGAAGGAAAATTTGTTTAATGATTTGTGTCATTTGTTTCATGTCACTTCAAATTAGGAAATTTCAAATAAACTAACCATAAATATAGCAATTCCCATAAATAAAAGGAATTAATGTAAAAAAAAGATAAGTCTTAGAGTTAAAAGACTTTACGACCAAACAAAAAATTAAAAATGATGCTACAGACATTAAATTACCTTTTAAGTGAAGATACCAGGCAGTTTGAATTTGATTTCCCGCACTGATGGATTGGTGCCCGTACAGCAGTATTTAAAGTACTGTTTAAAATCCGGCTACAACCAGACATGAGTAAGTGGGGTTTACTTAATTTTTACAAGCTTGCAGACTATAATTAAATATTTGATTAGGTTTCAGTAGACCTGTCCGGTACAGAAAAAAAAAACACAGACGTCCATAAAATAAATCTAATACGTCATATATGTAATGTTGGCTCGACTAGTTCTAACAAAAGATTAAATGTGTGGAGATAACAAATATAGTCATATTTTAAAGATTTACATATACATATAAAATCCACTTACACTAGTAAAATTGATTACCCTTTTATATTGAAAATACTTATATTATATATTCCTAATTTTTTACTTTAAAGTCACATTTACAGCAAGTAGTATTTTTTTCCTTTCATATTGACGTTTTTTAAAAATAAAATATATGGAGATAACGAACAGTATTCAAGCTCAAAAGTCCATTAAACAATACAAAGAAAGAGTGAGCAGAGCAAACACGGACTTCTGAAACATCAGAGGTGGGATCAGGTGCCATGGAGGAGTGAGCATATCCTCCCGACCCGTAACACCCGCCATGTGCTCCTTTTCATGATCGGAAAATAAAGGAAAAATCCTTCGACAATGGATTGTGTATTTTGCGGCCTAACATTCAGTATGAAAAACGTCATCGATCATTTAACTTAATTATAAATAGTATTTGCTGGCAAGGTCGAACATATAATTTACGCATTGATAACTTTGATTGTAACTGCTGATCATGATATTCTAGTTGAATAATATATAAATATTTTAGACTTATTTTTCACAGAAATACCAATTAAAGAAATTGATTGCGGTAATTGATATATTTCTAATATTTGTTTCTAATATTTTTTCTCCAAAAACCTGAACCGTTGACATTTGTCTTTTTTGAAGTCGCATATTGCCCGTGGTGTAAGAGAGCAATAACACTGATTAATCATATTACTCAAACTGTTTTCAAGTAAACATAAAACTTCGTAATTTGTCTGGCAAAACACATTTTATCCACCTAAAATTTGTCATAAAGATGCAATAACTTCTTTATAAGGCTTGAGCTTTGTCTAAAGAATTTGGGAACAATGGAATTTTGATTGAATACGCCTGCCACAAAATAAAGCAATCAAAACAAATGTCAGTCTTAGTTGAACTTAATGCACTTATAGTCCCGCAACATTTCAGAATGGATAATCAACATATATAAAAAATATAATTTAGATCACAAAAATTTAAATTCAGGAGAACAAAAAAGTATTTGATTTATGGACGAGAAAAACATACACACTTTTTCAGATGTACGAGATTTGAATTGTTTTATAAGTAAAATGTCCTAATAATAATTTCCCAAACATCCTGTGGCTCTGCAAAGTCTGAACAGTCAAGTGTATCGAGAAACATTAAATAGATTATCACTCTATTAACTCTTTACAACTTACTGTACTGTGACACAACATACATTGCATGTACACTTCATAGAAATAAAACGTTACCTTTTCCAGCTAGCACTTCTTACAGCGGTACAAGTTTCTCTTATGTTATGCGTAAATAATTATGACGATAATTTTAAATAAAAACGTAAATTTTCTTATTTTACGAGATTTAAGCATGTTTGAAAACATGAAGAAGGCAATTAGTAGTAAATTAAAGATATATTTACTTTTAAAAGTGCGTGAAAAAAGTGTGATTGCGAGGAAACGGTATACGCGTGATTTTGTACTAGAAATAGGAAATGGTATTTTAATGCATATAATGGATTAATATGCTTGACTGCGAATAAGGGGTTTAGGTTGTCTGAAACATCCAACAATTCGAAATGAAAGAAAAATTTTATTAAAACTCATTTTATTTTTTGCTTTATTTTTATTTTTAAATTATACATGCTTGGATAATTTTTTTCAAAAATGCAAAATTAAGTGGAATTTGCTGCCAAAATTTCGGTTAAATTCCATTTGTTTATTTTAGATTTTAATAACGATTTTACTAGTTCTAGCCAAACCTGCTCGTGGTCACCTTTTTTCTGGAATTATAAAAATAATTTTGGAGCAGTAACTGCATATCACCTTTAAGGTAAAATAAAGGAGATAATGTTTGATTTTTAGGGCAAATGTTTATTTTGACAACACATCAAAATATAGAACAATTCTTCAAATAACATAAAAAAGGAAATTCAATGTGACACATTTGTATCATAAAGAAAGATAATACTGCTACCTTGTTGCAATTGAGGCTGCAAAGATAGGTTTATGACAAGTTAACTTTCTTGAAATAGTGTACATTCTTCTTAGATGAATTGGACATAGGCGTATTCACAGGGATGAGTGGGGGGGGGGGGGGGCAACGGGGGCACTAGCCCCCCCCCCCCACTTTCAGATCGGGGGGGGGGGGGGCAAGAGTATGTCTGTGCCCCCCCCCACTTTTTAATGAAGAACAAAGTCACAGCAATTTTCCCCCAACATAACCTTTACTATAGGAAATGTTCATTGAAGGGATAGTCCCCCCCCCACTTGTTGACCCTAGTATAGTTATATGGAAGAATTGTGGGGGGAAAAAATTGGAATTGAAAGTAACTTGCCTTTGAAAAAGTTGGGCACTAACCCCCCCCCCCCCCCCCCCCCCAAAAATAGGATTTTCGAGTTTGGGGAACTTTCATTTTTTTTTTTTTTTTTTTGCTTGTCAAAGAATTTCTGGAGTTGAGCCCCCCACTTTTAAGTTTGTGACTACGCCTCTGTTGGAAATATCTTATTTATTAAATTTACAAGTAACATCATATTAATATTGGTCTACGAAACTAACGAGTAATTATAGCACAGATAAATTATAACAACCATCCTCCCCTCAACTCCCTGTCTATACAAGATTCTTTCAAATCAACAGTGAAGTAATGTGAGGAAGATAGCAATTTTATAACTGAAAACGGGAATATTATGGCATCGTTTCCGTACGTCTTGGGTACCAATTGCGCCGCGTTATTATTAGAGCTTTTTTTGAATTCATATGAAGCAGAATCTGTCCAAAATCAATTACGTAAAAAGAAGAAAAACTTGCTGTGGCCTTAGACCCCATATTTAGATATATCGACGATTGTGAGTTAGCAATGGTTATTTCCATTTTTAATTTGACAGGATATAACTACCATAGACTTAAAGAAATTCTGATTCTAATTGAGGTTATTGAATTCCCTGTCATCATTTATCAGAGTGATAATCAATATCTGAGAGCCATTGAATAGTGAGGGAGCTTTTTTGGCGCCAATACCTACTGCAACACCGATCTTCGGAACACAGTAACACAGTCTTAATTGCAGGACCGGTCTCCACTTTCTGCAGTGGATTCGAAACCGAGACGTATACGTAAGGATAAGCTCTTACTCCGCGACTCCAGAGTGAATATTTTTTCCACTACGGCTCGCGGGTGACTTTATCAGCGTGGTAGTGAAGGTGTTATATAATTGTCATGGAAAAACTTACAAAGAGACAAAAATGATCTGAATTTAACCCCTTAAAAATCAAGGTACATTAAAAAATCGAATTTAGCTCTATATCGTTAAAAAAAACATTTTACAAATATATGTACATTTTGTGGCGTAAAGGTCAACCTTAGGATATAACAGCTGATGTCAAATACAGATGTGAGTAAAAAAAGTTGACTAACTTTAAACTGTCCATTTATAATTAAATAAACGATATGCAGATAACGAACAGTATTCAATCTCAAAGTCCATAAAACAATACAAAATAGGAGCAGAACAAACACGAGAGGTGGGATCAGATACCATGGAGGAGTGAGCATCCCTTGCTGACCGTCACACACGCCGTGTGCTCCTTGTTATGATCAGGAAATAACGGGAAAAATCCGTCGTCAAATCAGTGTATAAATAATGGACTAACAATTGGTATGAAAAAGGTCAGTCAGCATTTGACTCAATGATAAATTGTATCTGGAGACAAGGTCATTGTATCGACCATAGAACTTACGAAATGATGACTTTAAACGAGACTGTTGATATTCTTGGTTCATCAACTTGCTTGTCAATGATTTACCTCTTTTTAGAAATTCTTCATACGTAGAGCATGCTCTTGCGTATCGAATCATCTGAGATATATACACTCCGTATGCAGGTGATGAAGATAAATGGCTGCATAAGTAAGGGAAGTAGACGATAGAAAAGATAAAGTCGTCACGTTTATCATATAGCTTGCTTGTTAGGTTACCATTAATAATGTTCATACACTAATAAATAAAGTTATTTCTGATAATTGTTGTAAACATATTGTCAATTAATTTGTAGCTAATCTTGTGATTATAACACTATTTGAATGTAAAAGTAAAACCAACTTGATCTCGCTGTCAGACAGAGATGACGTGATTGGCTAGTTTGACACGAATTTTCTATGTACTTGAGACGCAGATCAAGCCATTATTGCAACTTGTAAATATGAAAATTAAAACTTAATAAGGTGATCTGACTAAAATCAATATTTTTGAATACATAAATCAGTATTTTACAGTCTTATAAAATTGATAACTAACAGGTCTCTTATAAAGCCGCAGTCATGCGCTTTCATATACACCCCCTACTAATGTTATTGTGATTTAAGGGTTTGTTTTTGTGTTCCGCCAAGTGAAACTCGTATAAAATAAAAATCTCAATATCTTAATAAATACTTCTTGCTTTTTCATAAAACATAACCCATGGCACCTTCTATTACAAGGCTGTCTTGAAATGTATTCAATTTGGTTGTCACTTGCAATGTTTTGCAGCAGCAATGTGCACAATACACTTGCAGGACTGCACAGCTGCAGGTCTAATAAAACAATAACATGACACTTGTTGTACATGTACAGATAGTTGAACGTCATGGGTACAACTAATTGTTTTGTTCCTAGGAATTATAAGCGTCTTTTTTCTGTAATTGTATTTTTTTCATCTCTTAGGTATGTCTGCCATGCGAAATCGGTGGGCTGCCATTCTTATGATTCCGGTATTGAAAACTATTGAATAATTCTGTAATCTGTTGTCTCTAGTGCCCCATTTACA